AAATATATAATTTATTTCATTTTCATATATAAATCTATGTAAAAAATATACCTAACTTCTCTATTGAACATTTTTGTCCTACATTGTAGGTATCTATGTGAGTATATCTATATTTTCTCCTAGTTTTATGCGAAAGTATAAAGTGTTTGATACAAGAAACATAAATTAATAAATAGTCGTTCTTTTTTGTAAAGAATACATATTGTGATTTTTACACTTTCTTATACTTGATGATTCTGATAATCTAATATTAATCTAGCCAGTTGACTACGTTTACCCAAATGATTATTTCTCAGTTTAAGGCAACTTTTATAAATACTATCGTTGGAAGCGTCGTCACAATTAATATCTTTGTATTTTACTTTTAACGTCGGTTCTACCGCGCGAAATACATGCATATCACTGAAAGACACATACATTTCGAATAGAGAAGTTACGGGACTGTGCTTGGAAAGTTTCAGTAGAGTAGCAATGTCCTTATCGGATCGTGCTAACGGAATGCTCGTCTCGACTGTTTGCCGCACTGAAACACATTTTGATATATTGGGTTTTAATCACACAATAGAATCGACTTCTCTCGAAGCGAATTAACAAGTATATATGCGCTTCATACTTGCGTTGTAATCTCTGATGTAAAATGCGATATTGTTGTAGTTCTGTTCATCGTACTTTCCGTAATTACTATTGACATCCACCTCATTGGGAGCAGCTTCTTCCGCGTAAATTATATCAGGATGGAATTCGATAAACGGGATCGGGCTGAATATCTGATAGCGACTGATGGTATTCATACGAACCTAGAAAAAACAAATAAATTAATTATATACAGAATAATTATCAATATGTCACATGTATACTTACTCTGTTTAAATAATCTATTTTTAATTTCGTTCTTGCTTCCACGAGAAGAACCAAACTCTCCGAAGAAAACTTCTTCGCGCATAAATCGATCACGGCAATTCTTAACATTGGATTTAAATCTATGGAAGTTACATTGATGGGCAATCGTATGGAGAGCCAAGTAATTCTCGATTGATCCTTTTTATACTTTTCATTCAGCATTAATATGTTTTTTTTTACTTCATAAAAGATATCGCTTCTGCCTTTCGATGGTGAATCGAAATTATACAAGAGAACCTACAAAAATAATATTGTATGTAAATAATGTAATATGTTAATATTATTTACTATTTCGTGACATATTTATAATACTAATTATTTATAACGCATATTATAAAAAAAACTTTCTATTTGAACTGACCATCATGAGAAAAGTCTTGTACTTTTTTTCCATACAATCTTGTGCATAATGTTCCATAAAACTTAACGCGTCTTGCTTTTTCTTTAAATCGACGGTGATAATTATATTAATTCTTGTGTTTTCAGTCACATATGGCACGGGTATGATTTCTACTTTTCCTAACGGTTTGCAGACCTCGATTCTCTTTCTTACTTCCTTGCCCGTGGCCACTTCGTTAAACGCTACGTCGAGTATATAATCCATTCCTCTGGATGCGTCAAATTTTTGATAACCATTCAGCAGCTTTTTAAAGATTAGTTTGCTGTCGTATTTGCTTATAATATTATTCGTAACTGCGTTTATCACATAATCTATATCGGATTTTGCGTCGCCTCTTAGTTCTTGAATATTAACGAAGTCGGTCTCGAAGAAAACGTGAGATTCATTGAAATACGACCAGCGCAAGATATCGAAACGTCCGAGGGGTCTATTCCCAGGTTGATTTCCAATGGGCCATGATACATTACGTTGATTCGACGGACCAAGATGTGTAGTCGCAGATATTACTTTGCGTATATCGGTGATCGATTTGTGAACTCTGATAGAATTTATCTGAAAACAACGAGAGTCATCTTATAATACAAAGTAACACATATGTTTTATAAAACATTTTTTAATACATAGCTTATATAAATAAAATTTCTATCAAAATGACGCCTTATGTATATAATTTGTACAGTACTATTTCAGAAGACTTACTGCAGCAAAGTACATATTAAGTTTATAAATAAGCATGTGATTGTAGATAGGATATATGGATAGCGAATTTTGGAATTCATTTTGATCGGTCAATTGAGCAAAATCCTTCTCAAAATTAAATGTTGGTTTCAATTGGGTAAATGTAAAGTTTTGTCCTTGTATTCGGTTGCTACAAGGTATAGAAGTGGAATGGAGAATGCAACGACCAACATTAATATCATCTGAATCTGAATACGCGTTCTTGACACACCAGTCTAGATTATTTTTTATTTCTTGTATAACAGAATGGCTCAAAAGAATACCAGATTCTGAAAATAATTTAAATTATCCGTTAATTCATGTATTAATTACAATTGAATTATAAAAATGTATGTTTTACCTAGAGAACAATAAGTATCAATTTCACTTGGAGCACCTATGTGAACATTTTGACTCACGCTTATTTTATTTACAAATTCTACCAGACCTCTTGCATTTACATAACTCACATCTTTAGTTAGAAAATAATAATCATAGCTTTCTACATAATTATCAATAATGTATTTCATAGCGTGAAAGGGTTTCAAGATGCTTCTCGTATCAGTAAATCCCACTATTCCAGGGAAGGAAACATTTGGTTTGGTCCCTTCTGGTATGGATATAAAATAGCGAATTTTGTCTACTATATGAGCAATTGTTTTGTTCAGCGCTATGTCTCTACTATGAAGATACTCCCGACTCGTTATAATTCCCACAAATAATTTCTCTCTAATTCCAAGCTCCGTTGAATAGTATCTCGGACGCACAAATGTTTTCTTTCCTTTTTGCATTGGTTGTGGTTTACTATCAGTGTTTATTCTTGGCTCATAGGGGTCTATGTCTTCCAAAGTATTCGAGAAATGATCAAAAGATTCTGCTGCATCGTGTTGTCTATCAACATCGATTGGTATCAATAATAAACTGAAACTTAGGCCCATACATATACCCATTATCAAATAAACATTGCTCCAACAGATCGAATACAAAACTTTAAACAATGGTCTCATTTTGCTGAGTTTAAGAAACTTTTGCTCTTTTAAATTTTAATCCCCTATCGTGTTTAAATTATACTTCTAATAATATTTTTTTGCAAAAAAGATTTTTATTTATATTGCTTTGGAAAGTGTAACATTGTGTAGTTTGTTGTATCTGTAAATAAATAATATATTAAAAAGTTGTCATATACACACACACATTCTCATCATGCATATATATAATACATTACTAACTTGTGTATCAGTTCATCAAAATCCCATAATAACCTTAACTTTTCGATGAGATTCGATATTGAAACTCTCTGTGCATTTTTCTGTTTTAATCCCTTCGCAATTATCAAACCATAATCGTTTGCATTACATTCACCGATTTGTTTCTACAACAGATGCGACAGATTCTATTAATTACACGACAGAGATAGAGAACGTATACGTTCCATTCGCGCAGCACAATCTGTCATTCATTATTTGACATATCACACATATATACACGCACACATGCGTATCGAGTTACCACGTGTCCTTCAACCCTACTACTCTTATATATATATAGAATCAAGTGCAAGCAAATTAAAATGTTTCTGAATTTTTTTTCAGTGATAATCGCAAAGAATTTTCAATAAAATTATATAAAATATAAACAAACCATTCTTTCTATACATATATGTATATATATATAAATATTCTCTTTTATAATTATATATCATTAGTGAAATATTAATCATTATAAAATCATCCTGCAGTTATGTAATTCTGTATATTTCACGTGTATAAGAAGTTGCATCGTTGAAGGCGCTCTCGCAATTTTCATCTTGATTGCCATTTTGATAATTGAATAATCGTATGAATATATTGAAAAACACTATACATATATATATATATATATATATATGAATACAGATATATAAAACGTTCGTCAATTATCGACATATTGCTCATGTTAATCCTCGCGAAGTTTACGAATTATTACGGACTTCGTATCAATCAATCCAAGCGCTACAAGCACTGTTTTTCCATGACAGTACCTTCCATTGTATAATGCTCGATGGAAAATTCATGCAAAATAACGGCTACGATACGCACGAATCGCGAGCATACGATCGCCTCTAAGAATGCCCGTGATATGACGCTATGCGAATCATTTTTCTTGTCCTATTTTACATTGCGACTTATGTGGCAAGCATCGCGGACGGTGGTGAAACCACCAGGACAATGCCAGGTAATTATTTTGACGTATACTAAATTCTTCTCAAATGATTTCTTTATCAAGCGTAGAGATCTTAGCAATTATATAACATACAGTAGACAATAATTTTCCAGCAATAATAGCATTATTATAATAGCATTATTATGCACGTGTTCTCCCACACAGTTTTTCTCTCTTTAAATATTTTTAGGAAACGGCATAAAGCATATCCTCAGACAGAAAAATAAAGCGATACGAGGTGAGATAACCGAGAAACTTATCGATGATGAATCGACTCGGCAGACAAATAAGCGTAGGGGGCAATCGTTATTAATCAATCGAATTGACGGCTTATCGCAAAATCGCAAAATTTTAAATGGCAAGTTAGCACGAGTCAAGCGAAGTCTCCGGAAAAGAAAGAAACGTGCGAAGGTTTCGGATATCGCGCGTCATCGGAATTCCTTCGAAAATGATGATGTTGACGATGATATCGATGAGAGAGAAAAGGATACCTTATCGGCGAAAACACGTGGACTCCCTATCTGGCAAGTTTCAGAACCGATGGTTCCTGCAATTGATCTGAATTCTACGACAAATCCGATGATTGTACAAACAGAAATGATTAATCGATCCTCGTTCATGTTTAAAAGACCGCGATCAGAGAATTTAAACTCTTATCGTTCCTCGAATGATCACCTAACAGGTTCTAATGAAAAATTCCTGTTAGTACCGATTTCCAAGGATCTGTACGTTTTGAAGAATATACAAGATACTTCTGAAACAAACATAGATGGAATGATTATTCCCAAGCGTTATAAATTATTAGAAAAAAATAAGAATAAAGGAAACGCAACATCGGCTATTCTCTCGTTCAAAGCTCATATCCACCACGACGTGAAAGATGTAGGTAGAGCGTATCTTCATCATAGAGCTTCCAATAATCACCATTTATCTGAAATACCTTATCGGCGAAAACACGTGGACTCCCTATCTGGCAAGTTTCAGAACCGATGGTTCCTGCAATTGATCTGAATTCTACGACAAATCCGATGATTGTACAAACAGAAATGATTAATCGATCCTCGTTCATGTTTAAAAGACCGCGATCAGAGAATTTAAACTCTTATCGTTCCTCGAATGATCACCTAACAGGTTCTAATGAAAAATTCCTGTTAGTACCGATTTCCAAGGATCTGTACGTTTTGAAGAATATACAAGATACTTCTGAAACAAACATAGATGGAATGATTATTCCCAAGCGTTATAAATTATTAGAAAAAAATAAGAATAAAGGAAACGCAACATCGGCTATTCTCTCGTTCAAAGCTCATATCCACCATGACGTGAAAGATGTAGGTAGAGCGTATCTTCATCATAGAGCTTCCAATAATCACCATTTATCTGATTATGATACAAATTATTTATATACTGATTTCAATTCTCGTGTCCTCGAAAAAAACACGGAAAATCTAACGCCACTCTCGTATCCTAATTTCTTGTATCCGGGCATTGCCTTTCAGACTCGTCCCGATTTAATCGACGCCGTTCCTAAAATACTCGACCAACAGATTACCCTTCGCGTTCCAGATTATAAATATATAACTTTTGTAGATATTGACTCGAACACTGAAATCGTTCCTTACGATTCGTCCACGATTCCATCGACGTCTCCTTTTTTCGATATGTCAAATTACGACATATCTTCGTATCCTAAGAAAAACGCAAATAACCGTCGATCGAATATTTTACATGCGATAAAAGTGGATGAATTAAATCCGCAACCGGATAGCGGAAATTATGAAAACTCTTTAGAATATAGCGAGCTTATTGAATCGACAACTACGGATTTCCAAAATACATTTGGCACTCTTGATGATAATACAGATGCACCAGTTACTTTGAAAAATACCGAAATGGATGATGATAAAGAGTTATTTGACGTATCAAAAAATATAGAGAACAACTTTAAAGTATCAATAGAAAGCAACAAAAATAGAATAAATGTCATAGGTAATATTTCGACGCAATATAAATCTGCTTTCGATGCATCTGTAAACCAAGATAATAATTCCTTCTCTAATAATTTTTTTGTTAATAATATTGAAAATAATAATCAAGATACAAATGAAGATAATACAGGATCTGGAATCTCAATTTCAGGCGAATATAGTGATGAGAAATCAACTTATTTCAACGATTTCAATTATGATAATAAATTTATCGATGAAACATTATTTAGTAAATATACTACTATTAAATTGGATTCGTTTTTTAATATCGAAAATTACACAACATCCGCTTCGTTACTTTTTGATACTGATGAGTGGTCGTTTAATAAGAAGCAGTCTAATGTGGGAAATCCACGCGCTTTATTAAAGGCAATTGAACCATTATCCTCAGAGCTGAAAAAATTGCTAACCGCTGTTAAATTGGTCAATCAAAGCATTAGCAACGTACAAAACAGATTGTGCGATAAGAAAAACGTTGTCAGATCGGCGAGGATCGAGCGAGAAAGTAAAGAAAGAAAAGCCACGAATATTGCAGAGTCAATTAACAGGAAGGATAATTTTGATCTCTTTATGGAAAATTTTGATAATCAATCTCTGGATCAAAAGCAGATTAAAATCAAAGGCAAAAATATTGTAGATCGGACAAGTAATGTAGAATTTAAGAGAAAAACTACTACTAATCACTACTTTTTAAATAAATTGATGACACCGTTGCAGAAACATGAAAGCTCGATTAGCAGTAATCGAGGAATGAGCAATGATCGTAGAAATTTCCTCAAAAAGAGAAAATTGAATAAGAACAAGTTTCCCAAATCGGATAACATTGAGAAGCATAGATTGCCTCATTTGAGATTCAATAGAAATTTAAAGTCTTTGTCAAAAAATTACAAATTGCAACCGAAGCCGATCCGACAGTTCGTCGAATCTAGATTGAAAAGAGTGATACGTACAACGACAGCTGATGTAATATCGTCATATCCTCTGATCGAAAGCAATGTATCGAGCAAAAACAATTTTATAAATGGATATACACAAGATTCTAGAGAAAATGAATCAATTTCTTTGTCAGGACATAATACATTGTCGAAATTCTCGGATATGCCGGCAGACAAGGATAATCAGATGAATTTTTTATCAAATAACAATCAAGATTTGACGCGATATAATGTAACAAACAAATTATCCAATGATGAAGAAAATAAATATTCTCCCGTCGATCCGCAATTTTATAGGGAAGCAACGGCTTACCTCGATATACTTCGATTGTTAAATATGACGAAGAAACCTTATATAGAACATTCGACTGATATTGTGGCAAATATAACGGAATCGTTGATCTCAGAAATTTTTGTAACTACAACAATAATCTCGCCGTATCCTATCGAGAGATCAACGACTATCACTTCGAGAACTACCATCGCATGGAGACAAGAATCTCCAGAAGTGACCGAGTCGGTTTTATACGATTATTTAACAGGTACCGATTACAAGTATTACGACGAACAAAATTATACAAATATATACGAAGATTATGGATATGAAGATCGAGGAAATGTTACGTCTTGGTACGATTATATGGAAGAAACCACGACTGAGAAGAAGGCAATTAGTGCAACTACTATCAAAGATTTAATACCGAAATTTGTCGAAACAACGAGAGGTGTTGAAATTACGACACCTACAAAAAAGAAAATAGATTACGAAGTTGTGGAAACTATATCATTGACACGATTGTCAGTTACGTTGAGTGCTTTTACGATAACAATGCCTACTACACTGTCACAACTTTATACGACAGAACTGCCAATTTTTCCGATCGATGAAGAGATATTTACCACTGAAATCACTACTGAAGAGACAGCGTTGACTGTCGCAATGCCTACTGAAATAACTGAAACTTTTATCATAATTCCGACAACGATAGAATTTACAACCGAATCTGTTATGCTATTAACACCATTTTTAGAAAATATGACGGATATTACTTTGAGAATCACAATTCCTGCAGCTACTTCGAGAATTTCAATTGAGGAGACATCCATGACTACTGAGAAAGAAATTTTAGAAAGTACATCGACAACTTTGACGACAGAAGTAACAAGTTTCCTTGCTGAAACAAGCATATCCTTGTTTATAATTTCAACTGTACCATCATTTACAACTGCAGAATTGACAATTCAAATTACAACTCCCACCGTATCTATCGATTTAATACCATTGACAGTTGCAAAAAGGCCTCGAATTACAACACCGATAGAAGAAACTACTTCCGTAACTGAAAGAATGATTACAAGTGTAAGTCCAACTATAATACCGACCAAATCTACAGCTATTTTTGGTGAGAATACAACTTTGTATAGAGCTATAACGAGCAAGATTACATATGTTACAAGAATAGAAACGGAAATAGAAGACTTAATTTCGTTTACGACGCAAGCTTTAACGTTAACAACTCACATTCCGACAAGTACTTTGAAAATAACAGAAGAAACTAGTTTAGTCGCCGAAAAGATTAAAACGACGTCTATAGAAAATATGACTACTACAGAAAGTACGTATATAACTATTCCATCAATTACACAATTTACTCCAACTGTGCAAGTAGCTGAAAGTACAACTGAAACATCAATTACCATTAGTAAAATTACTGTTGTAAAATATACTATTACTACAATCACAAGCTCACCTACAACTTCGGAAAGAACGGAAACGGTTTTAAGCACATCGACAGAAATTGCAATGACTACTTTAACATCGGAAGAAGAGAGCCCGGTGACGCAGATTGAAAAAACTATAACAGCGGAAGAAATGACAACTACAGAAAGCCCAACAACTATTGAAACTCTAATGACTACTGAAATTCTAACAATTAGCGAAACTTCAGTGTTTAATGAAACTTCAACGTCTAGCACAATTCCAACTATCGAAGTTTCATCTATATCAAGTGCCGAAACTCTTCTAACGACTACAGAAACTACAATTACAAAAATTCTAACGCCTTCTGAAATTTCAACAATTACCGACACTTTGCCTACTGAAAATCGAACAATCACTAAACCTCTAACGACTACCGAAATTTCAACGTTAATTGAAATTCCAGTAACGACCGAAATTCAAACAACTATCAAAACTTTAATCACCGAGACAATTGAGAGCTCTTCAACATCTTCGGTAATACCTGTTTCAGTAACTGCAATTAAGACAGTTCCAACTACGTTATTGATAACGACAAAACGACCTGCTACAACTTCCGTTAAAACCACAGTTTCAATTACATCATTAAAATTAACAACATCAACGCCATTATCCCTGATCACGAATACAACGCTGAAAGAAACGCCATATACTACGATTTCTGGCACGTTTTTAACTACGACAAAAGAACCTACTACAACAGCTTCTGTTAAAACCACAGTTCCAACTACAACATTAAAATTAACGACGACAACGCCATTACCCCTGGTTACGAATACAACGTTAAGCGAAACGCCATATACTACGATTTCTAGCACGTTTTTAACTACGACAATAGAACCTGAAAATTCTAACGCCTTCTGAAATTTCAACAATTACCGACACTTTGCCTACTGAAAATCGAACAATCACTAAACCTCTAACGACTACCGAAATTTCAACGTTAATTGAAATTCCAGTAACGACCGAAATTCAAACAACTATCAAAACTTTAATCACCGAGACAATTGAGAGCTCTTCAACATCTTCGGTAATACCTGTTTCAGTAACTGCAATTAAGACAGTTCCAACTACGTTATTGATAACGACAAAACGACCTGCTACAACTTCCGTTAAAACCACAGTTTCAATTACATCATTAAAATTAACAACATCAACGCCATTATCCCTGATCACGAATACAACGCTGAAAGAAACGCCATATACTACGATTTCTGGCACGTTTTTAACTACGACAAAAGAACCTACTACAACAGCTTCTGTTAAAACCACAGTTCCAACTACAACATTAAAATTAACGACGACAACGCCATTACCCCTGGTTACGAATACAACGTTAAGCGAAACGCCATATATTACGATTTCTAGCACGTTTTTAACTACGACAATAGTACCTACTACAACAGCTTCTGTTAAAACCACAGTTCCAACTACAACATTAAAATTAACGACGACAATGCCATTACCCCTGGTTACGAATACAACGCTAATGATAAGCGAAACGCCATATACTACGATTTCTAGCACGTTTTTAACTACGACAATAGAACCTACTACAACAGCTTCTGTTAAAACTACAGTTCCAACTACATTATTAAAATTAACAACGACAACGCCATTATCCCTGGTTACGAATACAACGCTAAGCGAAACGCCGTGCACGATTTCCACTACCTTTTTGACAGAAGAGATCGAGAATACAACTTTTTCTATAACATCTACAATATCTACAATTAAAATATTGCCGACTACACTATCTACATTAATAACTACGACACCATTCTTGAATACAAGTGTCGCAATAAATAAAACACTTTTCACCACAATTTTTACTACGTTTAAAACAGCATCAATCGAAATGACAACTTTTTCGATGACTCCTATTACTACAACATCCCCGTTCGAAGTTACGTCAACACTAACTCCATCAATTGTAGATACAAATACAACGCTGAGCGAAATAATTTTTAGCACATTTTCGACAGAAATAGTCGAAGGTACGACTTTAACAACCGAATCGTTAACTGAAATAGTTTCTACAACGAGTTTAGTTGAATTAACAACGGAAGAGCGAAAGAACCACTATTACAGAAGCGACAACTTTAATGACGTATCTACCATTAAATACCACGATGTTTTTTGTCGAAACCACCGCAGAAACAACTTTATTCGTAACAGAAACGATTACCGCTATAAGCAGTGAAGAAATTTCAACGATCGAAGAAGTTACCGCTGTTAGTTTTATTACAATAACTGAAGAATCTTCCTTAATTGAAGAGATTATTAATGTTACTTCTACAACTGTTGGAATATCAATACCTACGAAAATCACATTGACTTTTACGGAAAGAAGTACAACACCTGCAATAGAAACAAGTATCGCGAATACTAGCTTGGCATCGACAATAGCCATGACGACTGTTTCGCTTTTACGAGAAACTACCACAGAAACTATAAAGACAAGTTTGATAACAACAACTGCCACATTGTTGCCGCCAATTACTGAAGAACCAGAGCAGATAACGATCTCAAAAACTGAAATGACGTTTACTCCACTATCCGAATTTACGTCGTCAGTATTAATTACGTCGGAAACGCCCGCTATTACACCAGAAGTTATTTCTGTATTGCCACAGACTGTATCAGATGAAAGAGAATTCACAACAATATTAACAAGTCCATCGATAACGTATACTTTAGAGAGTTTTACAACATTATCTATCGAAAGAACAGTCCAACCCACTGTTTCAACTTTGGCAGCGACCACTGAAGAAATGCTAGAAGTCGAAACAGAATATTACATAGCAGAGGAGCCGTTCTACGAAGAGGAATATGAAGATTATGTGGAATACGATATCCCGACTGATAAATGGTATGATTATGAAGAGTACGAAACTACGGCGAAGATTAGGACGACTGTGGTATCGAGCACAGCAAAATATACAGAACTGTCCACAGAAGCAGCAACAAGCCCATCTTTTGAGGAAGGTACAACATCTTCATATGAAACTAAAACTTTAGAGTTTACGATGTATTCGACAACTTCTACATCGATTTATACTGATGTAATTTTAACTGCAACTACCACGAAAATACCTTATACATACACCGAGGAAGAGTTTACTTTGATTTCTGCTTTGGAAACATCTGCAATGACTATTATTGAGAATATAACGACGATTGAAGTAGGAACTGAGTTTACAACATCCATTACGAGTAAAGAGGAAGAATCGACGACAATGGCGTTAACCTTTGGCTCTACCGAAGAATACACTCTTCTCCCTTCGACAGCTTTCGAAATTATGACGGAACCGCTTGAATATCTGACGATTCCTCCCAAATTTACAAAACCTACATCGAAATTTTTGGCATGGTACGACGTTACCGCGCCAAAATTCACAAAGCCCAAAGAAATTTCTGAGATCGAATTAGAAAAGACTTCGACTTCGGAACGAATTTTGACGAAGACAGAATTTACCGAGGAAAAATTGACTTCCTTTTTCATTTCATCAATATTGACGACGTTATCGGAGAGAGAAACTATTGAAATATATGCAACAACCGCGAGTATCGCGTTCTCAGAGATGGAAACCGCTTACGAAGTAACCACTTCGGCGACGATGTTAATTACAAAAGAAGAGATTACTCCGTATACCACAATGTTTACCGCCCCAGAAAATAAAACTGAATTTATTACGATGAGGCAAACTACGATCGGGCAAGAAGAAGAAAGGAAAATCTTACTGCAACTACTCGAGTATCTCGAGCAGCGTGAGAGAGAAGTGGCAGAGAGAGAGGAAAAGCTAAAGAAGAAAGAATTACAATGGGAAAAGGAGAAGGAAATGATGCAGCGTGAAAAGGAGAAAGCAAAGAATATTACAACAGTGACTAGTACAACTACGGGCTATGTTACAACTACTATAATTGATACAGTCACAATTCCCGTTGATATTTTCAGTACACAAAATTTGACTGCAGCTCCTACTGCAGAGATTAAAGTCACATCTTTTGTTCTCGATACGTCGAGTTTGGCTGAAATTATTATAACTTCCACCGAAACAATGCCGTATATCACAGAGGAAGGTATATTTGCGACATACATTACAGAAAAGACAGAAGAGACAAGTATAAAAGAAAGTACATTTCCAACGTATATTGCAGAAGTAACAGAGGAAACGGCTATATTTTATACTACCGAGGAAAGTACCTCTGTGACATACATTACAAAAGAGACGGAAGAAATATATATTACAAATTATACAACTCTGACGTCATATATCACTGCATCTATTGTAGATTTATACAACATCAGTTTAGTTTCAATCGAAACCACCACTTCTTACACTACCGAAGAAATATATACTACGAGTTATGGAACCGCTTATCTGAGTGAACCTTTATCTACCTCGTCTACGATGCTGTTCACCAGCCCGATTACTTTGGCTGTTGACGAATTCACTATTATTACAAAAGAAAGCTATACTACGAGTTACATAACCCTTTGTAGTGAATTTCCATTCATTTCGTCTACAATGACGTTAACTAGTCGAATTACAGAGCCTATTGATATCACTATTTTACCTATTTCAATTACAACCCCTATTTCGTATGCTACGGAAGAAACAATAGACATTTATAGTGAGTCTCTATTCACTTCACCAGCATCAGTGTTTATTAAGACAACTACAGCTTTAGCTATTAGCATAACCACGGAGATGGAATATGACGAAGAAATAGAAAGCCTGAAAGAAAAATTGCTCAAGAAAGAACGCGAATTAAAAGAGAGAGAAAAAATGTTGTTGGAAAAAGAGGAAAGATTAGAGAAAGATATAATAGAATTTGAACTGTATATGAAAGAATTCGAGAAAGAAAAAATGTACACCTTGATTGCATCGTCCGAGAAACCGATTGTGTCAACGAGTTTATCAACGCCTGTGCCACCGACCGAGAAGACTACTATAAAGGCCCAAGTAACAACGCAGATTAAAAAAGTAACCGAGAAAGAAGAAAATCAAACTACTACTACAAAAATGGTGACTTCTCGACACGAGACTACAAAAATAAAAGATGTTGAAGAGAAAGAGCGGACTAGTCATGTTCCCGAAAAGATCGCAACACAGGTAGAAGAAAAGATTGTGACGAAAAAAATATGTCTCAATGTCCTGGAAAATACGACAATTCCTTTTGTAATTAAGAAAATGTGTCTGCCATATTTTCCCGAAAAGAATAGAAAGCAAAAATCAGTAAATCATTTAAGCAGAAAGCTTCTGTCATTTCCAAATACGAGAAAAATTAGGGAGTCACAATTTCAAAATTTGCCGTCAGATTTTCGATACAGAGGAACAAGAGCGATAGAAACGACACGTAAAATCGACAATTTACAATTATCATATCGTGAATGGCTGACTAACGAAACCACGAAACCAATGCGACATTTTAAAGGTTTCACTAGGATCTATGGAAAAAAGGGGAGATTTTATTTAAAAAAGATTTCTACCACTACTAATATGCAAGAAAATTATATCTATAATTTTCGAGATAAAACTCCTCTATCTGAACAACGTATTCTTGATTCCTATGAAAGTCTCTTTCGATCAACAGCAACGTTTATGTTAGATAATAAGAAATACAGAAAAAGAAACGTTTTCTTCAAACATAATTTAATTCCTGCAAGAAGAAATAATTTCTCAAATAATAACAAATATATCGAAAACAGAAATGCTTTGTCGACAGAGAAAAATACTCGGTCTTGGATGAGAGAGAATGCAGCCAATGTTTCGAATCAGAAAGCTAGAAGTATAATAACAGAGGAGGAGAATTTAGATGAAAAAGAGAATGAATTTTACACGGTGAATGTACTACATCTCAGCTATAATAAAGACAGAGAAACGCATGAAGTAATATCTGCTAAACCAAATGAAAATGAACTAACAATGATTATGTCTGAGTCAATTGACAACAATAATGTTACTAAATTTGACGAAGGTGGTAAAATTACACCATACAATGAACTTGAAGAAAAAAGTGATTTACAAGAGGAAGACATTCTACAGGAGGAAGAAAAATTGCAGGAAGATTCTTTCGAGGATATGTTAGAAAGTATAATAAAAAGAATCTTGTTCTTTCGAATATCTTTAATTTATAAGGATTTATTTATTTTTATTTATTATAATATCTTTGCACGCAGTCGATTGTAGAATTATAGCTTATTAAATCATTACTTCCATCTTCAGATAATATTATATTTTTTCTTTTTTTTTTCTTTCTATAACCAGAGATTATAATATGGTAAAACATTTTCTCCTTTTTAATAATTTTTATATTGTAGATTATATGAATTATGAGGAACGTACGACATCGGCACCGACACGTGATGATAAATTTTTAGACAGAGGTGAGACTGAAAGCGAGATAGGAAGTAAAACAAAATTTTTGGATCAAATGTGGCCTACGGAAAAAAGTACGACATATCATCTGGGTGGCACTAGATATTGGGAACTCGAAGTTACGGAACCTGTATCAGCTGTATTTAGTATTACAACTGACTTTACAACTAAAAGCAAAGCTATTGACGTTCCGGTTACGGAACCGTCAGCTGTATTTAGTATTACAATCGATTTTACAACTAAAAGCAAAACTACTGACGTTCCGGTTACGGAACCGTCAGTTGTATTTAGTATTACAACGGATTTTACAACTAAAACCAAAGCTATCGACGTCTCGATTACTAGAACAACATGTCTCTATGTTATCTTAAAAAATGAAATAAATACTGACGCAAAAACAAAACGTAATATACATCACCACAAACGAAACGTTTATAAAAATGAAACGAGGAAAAATAATATTTCTATCGAGAAGCAAAAAATTGGTCTTAAAAATATAACAAGAGAGAATACGCAAAACTTGCGCGGATTGAATCGTTACGAACAAAAATCTGGTGGAAAAAGAAAATTTGACGAGTTTTCGCGTATCAACAATGAGGATTCAATAATAGCAAAAACTCGAAAGTTGTGTAGTGTCAATGGGATCAAATCAAAGCATCAAATAATTAAGCACAAAGATACTATGGATACCAAAAATAAAACTAAAAAGAAACAATCAACAAAATCGCAAAAATTACAAAATATTAATTCGCGCTCTCCAAAAAGTTGTACAAATAATTGTATCATGAATAAAAAAAATTCGGGTAAAATAATTACGAGAACGACAACGAATCATTATTCTCAAGCGAAAAATAGCAACAATAAAGAGAATAATAAGAAAGTAACGAAAACCGATGATCACAAAAATCTATCAATGTGCGTTTCACGCGAAAGAGAAAATCACGATTATTTAAATTGCATTTGCGACATCGTGAACGTAATTAAAAACATAAAATCTATATTAAACAGAATAAGTTTTTCGTTGGACGAAATTAAGGCGCTTAATTGCAGCGTATATAAAGAGACCCAGGATAAAATTGTGATTTCGATGGATTCCGACGCGGAAGAAGCTAGAGAATTTTCACAGCCGCATTACAATACCGAATCGTTGAAAGGTCAAAAATATATCAAGCTGGAAGAGCTGGAAGATGATTTTAAGAGCGATTTGGAACTCGGCAACGGTATTTCTTTTTACAATTTTTTATCAAATATCGAAATTCTTATAAAACGATATAAAATCGATGCATGATAATGTTACGGAAAAATTTTATTCTTTTTCAGATCACGATATCGTTTCATTGCCCGGTCTTAATCTCAACTTACCTTGTAATCAAGACGGCGACGGTATCACTTGGCTATCGAGTATTAGCAGACCGAGTTACGCGTGGAAAAGGACCGATGGCATCGCAATTTTCGGTATAGCATGGCATATTTTCGAAGCCATTTGCATATTGACTTCGAAACAGACGTATTGGCATATTTTTATATATAACAATATTTATAAAATCTTAACTAATTCTTTACAGGTTTCGTGGCTGAAAACGGTGATTTGGAATTGCGAAATGTAAATGCAAAAGATACGGGAAATTACACGTGCGTCACAACGTACATGGGCCCCGAGACTGAAGAGCCTGTAGAAACTACCTACGAAATTCATTTGCAAGGTAGATTTTCAATTATCAATTATTTATTATTATTAAAGTTTATTTTATCGAGTTATATTATTTTTCAAAATTTAACATCGCCGAACTAAAGACAATTTTCTACAGTTGTGACGCTACCGAGATACATCATACACGGTGAAAATTGTTACTATACGCGATCCTGCGACGAAAGGGATTTGGATATATTGATGACGTATCTTCCAATAAAGCTAAATGATATTATATGCGAGGCAGATATTTGCAATGCTTATATCTTAACGCCATCTTGCTCTCGAAGCCAAGTACGTCCCGATATATTATTTTTTTAACGCGGGTCTCTCAATTCTGAATTGTGCTATTATTCTCTTACAGATTACAGTAAATATTCTGTTATTGCCATCGCATATCGTCAAACTGATGACCATCGATCCCAAACACTGCAATATCTTTTGTCTTAAAGCCATTCAGGACAAACTCTCGCTTATACTGAGTAAAAATTTACGAATTTTCTTCGGGAAAACTAGTTAGTCGATATTTGCACCTACTCGTTTTACTTTGTCGCAACATATCCTCTATTTTCTTTTGTAATGCGAAAATCAATTTCGTGTATTATTATTCGAAATTTTGATTAAAACTCTCTAATATATTTACGATGCAAAAAAATTTTTTAATACAAATACATAAATCAAGTTTTTTTTTTTTTTAAATATTATATTTCGACATGTTGCACACAATAAAAAAAGACTATAAAATAATTGAACAATATTTTTAATCTTATCGCTTAACAGAGGAGAGGAATGTTGCGGCTTTAAAATTTACAATAGCATCTCTATAGAGTTCTTTAACTACAGTTATTTTCAGATTACCTCATTATGAGCAGAGATTGGTTCCGATTGCTGAAAAGTCCACATTCGCAAGATGGAAAAGAGGAAGGACAAATGCATTTGCCGGAAAAGCCAGTAATATCGGCCTATTTTCCAGCTGCCCGGCTGGATATGGTCTTCGTGGCACGCATTGTGGTATGTTATATTCGCATGATATCCAACTGTAAGAAAATGCATATATAAATAAATTAAAACGTGCTTTCAGTTCCTTGCAATATGGGTACTTATAGCGAGGATGGAATATCGTACTGTAAAAAGTGTCCGTCCGGTACGTATCAGCCGAATCATGGTGCCAGAATTTGTCGCACGTGCACTGATCCCTTGACGAAAGGCTGTTACAATATGGTACATATCCAACTGATCGCAATTTATCAAATATATAGCATATAAATTAATATATAACATATAAATTAATTATGCCGCAATGTTATTAGAATATATTAATAATGTAAAGTGTATCATTGTGTAACATATGTATACATAAATAGCTCTTTTACAGCTGTGGAGTTCTTTTTCCGCTATAATGATAACTTTGGCAAGTCTCGGTGTAATGCTATCGATATTTTTATTATTCCTATGGATAATCTGCTGCGCTAAGAAGAAATTCTGCGTAAAGAAGATAGCTAGTATTATACCTAAGGAAGACGCATTTGAACAAGAGGTAGAATTGTACAATTTAAAAAAAAAGAGATTGTGACAGAACGATAACAGTGAGCAATTTTTTATTAACTTAACTAACTAATTTAACTAACAGAATCCCATAGAGGAACAATCGTTAATTAATGACGTAAGTGAAAACCAAGATCAGCAATGGGATAATGAATACAAAACTAAGAAAAAAAAGAAAAAGTTTTATCTAAGTAAAAAACGTCGAAAACAAGACGAAAGAGGAAAATACAAAAAGATGCGGGTTTGTAAAATCACAGAATATATTTTAAATTTAGCAGAATTAAAGATTATTATTGCTTGAGATTAATATTTTCCTCTCTGTCTTGTACACTGCAGGTACATGAAGATGAATGGGGATCGCATCGTGTAAAGAATATTCCGATCATTTGCCCAGATTCTTATCGGTCTCATGAAGATTATAACAACTGTGAGCACATCTTTCAACATATAAAATATATTAACGTATAAAAGTGTAATCTTTTAATCTCTCTTCTTCATATAAATATTATATATTCTTAAATATATATAAATTTATATAGATTATTCAAAGCAATCATATCGTAAAGGACCCCGGCTGCCAGAATGTGATTTCGATACATGATAAAAGACGTGATATATATATATATATATCAGAAAATATGCTACAGATAGCGAAGCAGAATTATGTAATCTAAGAGATAAGTTTGTATAAATATATTTTAGACTTAATTTTATATACCTAAAAAAAGTATATAATATCCGTCCGGTATGTGCACACACATTTATTTTTCTGTCTCCCTCTGTCTGTTAAAGGATAATTGTACCTATTAAATAACATATTAATTATGGGATCCTCCTCCCCTATTGTATCGAACATATGTTATAAATAAATGTTATACACATAGCATATAAAATATTCCAATATATTGATTATTTTGATTTTGATATTTATATATATTCTTTGTTCTTCATGTTATATTTATTTATTATATATTCTTTGTTTTTTATGTCATATTTATCTATAAATTATTTTTATTGTTAAAACTTAATGTTTTTTTTCGGGATTTGAAAGTTTATAATAAAAATAAGTTTAAATTTGACAAATGTCATATGTTAAAGAATTATTTTTATTATAAACACATACATTTCCTATTGCAATAATTTTTGTACAGCCGAATGATGTTCATGGCATTGGTACTACACTAGTGCGATACAGCCAGATAACCTGAAAACAGCATCATTATTATGTTAAAGTCTCGTATATTGACAAAGATTTAGATTACGATTTTAAGGTATATTCCTCAATAAAATCCAAGGGATATATCAAGGGTAATATCGAGTTAGAAATGACATTTTTCACACGTACCAGAAATTTATTTCAATAGCTGATGACGGACTATAAAGAAGGGAATGGAGAATCCACTGCCCAAGTATACCATAAAAAAGAGCAACAACTTATGCCTGTTCTGCGTGCTGAATGGCAAGTTCTGTAAGAAAAGATAAAATGATTAGAAGATATTTACGCAATAAATATCAGGCATATACATACTTCATATTTCAACGTTATATAATCAGACAAACTGTCACTTACGAATCCAGGAATACCGTCGTAGGGATCGTGATGACCTCCCCTGCGAATCGCGCTCGTCATAAATTGCCTCACTGCTTGGCGAGCGAACATGCCCGTCGAATTGATCATTTTCGCCGAAATTACACAGCAGCAAACGTATCCGCGAAAGTCTCGTGCAAGATGACGACTCGCCGTCTGCTTCGGCCAGAAGAGCCAACCTAGAGAAAAGCCTCGCTCGACGATACGCATGCGCGACGCGATTTTTGTCCAAATTTCGTCCAATCAAATAACGCTTTTAGATAGAGCATAAAAGAATATTGTAATAATGTTATGTTGGCTATTCTGGTAGTTGCCATGGATACAAACAAATATAAAATTCGCGATAGTTAACTGTAGTTTAATTATGGCGCGTAAAAAGCGCACGTTAATTTGTGTTAATCTAAATAGTTTCGATTAAACGTAAAAATTATCCATACAATAGTGAAATAATTACTTATATTATTTCCGTAATAGAGTGATGTAAAGCGTATTTTGTAATAGTAATGTAAAAGTGAGTGAAAATATGTTGGAGAGAAAGAGAAAAAGAAGATGCCGTACTTTGCGTGAAACTTTAGTGAGAGGACAAAAAATGGTATAATACTTTCCGTGAAAATTTAATATATATACATAATGTATACATGCGTGTGTGTGTGTATTTAATAAACACATATATTGCTTAACAAATTATTTAATATATCCATTAGATATTTTTTGCTACTTGTTTAATGGAAAAATGTTTTTATATTAGCTTGCACATTTTACAACATTTATTGTGTGGGATTCTTACTTTTTATTTACTTAAATAATTAAAAGAATGTTAACATTGAAATCACCAACATTGAAATAAGATAATCGACGGGAAGGTAAAATAAATACGCTAAGCAGTAATATTTACTGAGTATGAATAAATTTATTTTTGTACATGAAGTATGAAATGTAACAGTAGAATATTTTACGACATAATATTTAATGATATTTTTAAATTTTCTATTTCCTAATCAAAAAATTATTCCAAAGCTTAATATATTTGAATTATTGTAATTATTTTATATATATGTCTACGCAAAGTAATTTTTCTTTTTATCAAAATACGGTTTCAATTAACGTATTTGTTTCATATTTTATTACATTATTATACATTATTTCAGCAGTTATTAATTGATGACAGTTTACAAATATTTTGTAATAAATCATGCAAACAGGAATAAACTTTTATTTTTTTATAGCTTTTTAATATAACAATTGTGTAATTGCAGATCTGTATACATATAATCGCATATTATCTAATATATTTATTACATATCTTTTATTATAACATTATTGATATACACATACACAAAGAACTAAATCTGCTCGACATATAATTCAATAATATAAATTATTCACTTCAGTGCCGATAAAAAGCCATATCGGATAAATCTTTTCACATCTTTTTGAATATAAATATATGTTGTATAATTTTTGATATGCTTCGTTATGCTCAATAACAACACAAACGTTGCGGAAATATCTAAATAAACAACAGCTAATTATCGCATGATAAAGTTCGATTTAATTAATTAATTCAGTTGATCCCGCGGCCACATCGTTCACAATATCCAAGGTAATTTATCGAGCAACGATGTTATGTTGTCGTGAAACAAATTCAATGTACATGTACAACCTTTTGTTTCTCGCTTTTGTGAAATTACAATGATTTTAATTAACGACCGTTGCGAATTGTCTTTAGTAACCATTACGAATCGAATACAAACTTAAATGATGCGTGTCGCATGTATGGCCGCATTACGTGTACGATGAATTTAACGCACTCACACACCTGAAACTTTGCTCACCTTTATTTTCTCAAAGTAAGAGAGCGTAGAAGCCAGGTAAAAAAAGCAAATTTCAGGCGTAAGAGTACTGTCAAGAGACACCAGTCCTATAATTGTACAAGAACGCCACTCCGCTATCTTTCTCGTGAGAGAAGGGGGGAGTGGGATTCAAAGGGAAGGCCGCAATGTAACGTCACAAACACACCTGAAACTTTGCTCACCCAACATTAAAATTACGGGCCGAGCAAAGAGTCAGGCCCACCTGTAACGCTCAGCATTTTTCTCTTGCTCCCGTTTTCTTCAATCTTTCCATCGATGTTATATGCAGCAATAATGGATCCTATGAATAAAAGAGAGCAAAAGCTTTTGTTAATATAGAAGAGAGAGAGAGAAAGAGCGAGTTTACTTTCTGCTTTGTTTCTGCTTTAAAACAAAAGCTTCTGCTTTCATATCTTGCTAAGAGCATTTGACTTAAAATTTATTTAAACTTTAAACAATTCAATAAATTGGTAGAATATTGAAATCATCATTTTAGAAACGTAGATTTATCTGTCTGCTACGATTTTATAGAAAAATTATTTTTCTCAAACGCCGCATTATTATTATTGAGTGCACGTATTCCATATTCTTCCTGGTGTGGGAAGTATGAATCATTAGACCTGAAACAGAAAAGGACAAATTTCAGAGGTATGTAATATTATCGTGAAAAGATACAAGATTTAAAATTATAAAATTGATGACGTACATCTAAAGAATTTTTGCGGAAATGCACAATGAAAACATAACACATTAAATAAATATGTTTTTATATTGTAACATATCTCTACATATTAAAGTATAATATTATTTAATATTATAGCTATTACGTGGCCGTTTTTTAATTTCGGGTAATTATTTACCGCGACAGTCGTTTAAACATTTTCTAGTGTCCTGCAACATAAAATACATATTAAGCCAAATTAAAATTCGCTTTAACGCGCGAATTACTACGCTTCTCTCTGCACAAAACTACAATTCATATAAAATGTCCCGTCTCTCCCCCCCCCCCTCTTCTTGTTCTCTCCTCTTCTTTTTTTTCTAAAAAAAGATTGCAACGGTAAAAAAATACTGATTTATATGTTAAAACATTACTAAGCGTGAAACACAGTTATTATGTACCTCCCGCTTTAAATTGCCGCGGCGGTTTATTCACTGCAACGCTTAATTCAACGCTCATTTGAACATTTTGTCGGCTATGTGATACATACCGAGCCCAATTAAAATTCGTGTCACTTCAAGCGTCGCTCTGTAAAACGCGATTTATGCGATCCCTCTCGTCGCCCCCTTTTATCTCAAACTTTTCCGTATGCGCGGCAGCAGGGCGAATTATGACCAGGGAAGGAGGGAGGGAGGGAGGGAGGCGCGGACGTTGTTCCTGCTATTCGTGAAAGCGCCCTTTCTTCGTGGCACACGGTGCGCGATCGTGCGATGACTCGTACGATAGCGAGAACTCTGAAGGAGGAGGATCAAAACGGAGAACAGAAGCAGCGGGCTAGGTCGTCCGTAAGAAGGAGGATAGAGTACGCTTTCATTTGACGCGCACGCACGCGGGGACGTGTACGTAGAGAGAGAAGTGATCATCACAGTATTCTCATGGAATGCGAGCGTCAGGAGGAGAGATAGAAGATTACGTCAGACTCCGGCTCCATTTAAATGCCCGGCATTGCTGAAATTGGTCCGAGGTGACCCCTGACTTTGGGACCCGTCTCGTTTCTTTGTCCGAACCGCTCGAACCGGTGACGAGAAGAAAGTCTCGAAAAAAAAACCCTGGATAAAGAAACGCCACCGCGTTATCGTCCGGTTAATCTGGAGTCTTACTTCAAACCGGACACACGCGGAGTCCACTGACGTTTCCACCCTCTCCTCCTCGCTCTCCATTCTCTGAAAAAAAAAAAGATGAAAATGTTCTAAGTTAATAGAAATTGCTTTTGACCGCGAGAAAAATTTTCTTGATTCTACAGTCACCCGTTCCTCTCGCGGACAATAATAGCACCGTCGTCGTTAAATTCGTGATGTGTTGAACTCGCATACGACCGGCACCACTTCTCACGGCAACTTTCGGGAAGGTATTAATCATGCAAGTCGGGAACTACTTGTGTATGATTCGGTTGGGCAAACAACACCGGCTTTTGAGGTCGAATACGCTAATGTCGGCGCGCCGACACTCCGTATACAACGACGAGGAATTAATATTCTTTTGTCGTGCGCGCGAGTCGCTCTCGGAATCGTTTGTTATTCCGGCTGCCTCACAAAATCCACGCCACGGCTATGATATTCGTGTTCCTGTCTACCCTACCTGCACACATGCACTTTAGCCGACCGTTATCTTCCGTTTAGATATGCAGCTTGGAATATAGATAAACAGACGAATCTCGCGCTAGAAGCGGAAGATGAGGCGTCATTTTAATTGCTGGCCATTTTCGCACAAAGGCACAGAATCAAATTCTGTGTTTGCCTAGAAAATACGGTGTGCCGCAGATTTTCGGTTTTTTTTTTCGGCCGAATTTTTCGAATAAATTTTCCTTTTCGAGCAATAATTTAATTTTTAAATGACGTTGCAACGCAGAATTATTAAATTTAATATCTTCGACATCGGTTATTTGACATTCGTGAAAAACACATTTATTCTTTGACTAATTCCCGACAGAAAGGACGCGTTTTTCAATGACGTATATATTTCCAAGTATTGCACGTATTTTAAAAAGTATCGCAAACTTTGTTTTCTATAATATTTTGCGCATGTAATAACGCGTCCAAAATATAAATCTGATAAAAGCGTGTGTATATGTGTGTGCATGCGCCGCTCAAAAGACACATGCCGGAAATTCTTTGAAAAACGCAGTCTCCTTTAGGAGAGGCTCCTCCGTCCTTCCTGCCTGATGGAATCGCTCTCGAATTTCCTAGCGTGACTTGGCTCGTTCTCGAACCTCTGCTTTTCAACCAAAATTGATCGATCTATCCTCCGCAAGGATAGGGTTAACGGACGTCTGATTTCTCGTCTTTTCCAGGATGGCGATGATAATCATTGCGACGATTTTTTCGGGAAATATATAGAGAGACTATTTTTGAATCCAAAATATTATTCAAAAATCCGGATATTAAAATGAAAAAATAATTTTGAAATAATTATGTTTAAAAATTTAAATTAGAAAAATTATTTAAAAAATTGACAGAATAATATTTTTAGTTAATTAAATAGATATCAAGGGACAGATTGATTATCTCTCTCAATGATACTGATTCCGCTAATCTCCATTATTATTTTGCGAATCTCCATTCTCAGATATACACGAACAGGTTTGCATAGATAGGTGTGAGATATATGGGACCAACAAGCGAAACGGTCGAAAAAACGCTTATGAGCGAGTTTGATGGAACATTTATCCTGGCTCCACGAACCGTCGCTACGTGGGTGATCGATCAACCGTCGTTCTCGGCGGTAGCGGCGATATTTCGCGAAATATTTTCGAGGCACCATTTTCCGGTTCGCTGCGTTACATTTTACACGCGCGTGTGTGGGCGAATTTATATCGTATATTCGGCAAAACAATTATTCCCGCGTGAACGAGATTATTTCTCTGTCGATTTAATTTTCGACGGACTTCATCAATATCTCTAAAGATTGCCTATTTTGATTATTTTGTAACCTGTGTTATTTATGTACATTTGCATATTATTACTATTACTGTGATACAAATGTTTTAAATTACAAATCATCCTTTTCTGTCACATAAAACGTGACAGTAAATCCGTGAATGTTGTTTTAAGGGCATCTCTCTTTGTTTTAATTTAAAATAAATGTTTACAAAAAATACTATCAAATTTATACAACAATTAATCTTAAAATGAAAAACTTGTTTCTCAGATTTCAATTTGAAAGTCATCAAATTTGTTTCCCAGTATCATACGACGATAGTTTTAGGACATCCCGTATACAAACGCTTAATGTGCATCGGAAATAGCTGTCCGTAGGTTATATAACGGTATAATGCTGCACGTTTCGCTAACAAAACCAGGGAGTTAAGCTACTCGCGTCTCGTTTGTCCATGAAAAGGAGGAACGTGGAAAGAGGAGAGAGACTGAAACTGAGACTTGGCGCAAAAAGAGCTGGCGTTTGACAGGAAGTTGACCCAACGTCCGGTTCTAATGTATTTCCGGCCAGTTACGGCTATCAAATCGCAAAAGTCTGCGGTTCCGACGTTTTATTTCTTTCGTACCCTTTCTCGCTTCGTTATAATCGCCATCCTCTGGCCTTTTCGTGTCCGAATTAACAACATATCAAGATATAATTAAAAGCTCTATTATTAACATCATCAACATTTCCACGCTTGCAATAGCGCAATCTTTTAATGGGTGAAATCTTCGTAGAATAAATTATGCGAAAATGTGGGAAATATTTAGTATTTTATTGAAATTAATTTATGTGAATGAGGGATTGTAAAGCTCTTCCGTCATTAGTAATCTAACTGTTTTAATCAAATATATTTGAAGAAAAAATATTTCTTTTTATTAAATATTTTATTCGGGAAATTTATGAATCTATGATTTATATTTCTAAAAGGTAGGAAAATTATACTGATACTTGAAAAATAAATGTAAGAACAAAAGTTGAAGCTCATAAATCCAAGTAACCGATCGTTGTATAACTTACCACAAAGGCTAACAGAAATTAAGTAATAAATCGTGTGTCATATTGATGCGCAGAATAAAATGAAAATAAGTTTACGATGAGATTTCTGTCTAACAACTTTTTTCCCTAAATATGCATTAAAATCACGCTACGACCATCTGCAATCTCGGGAGTTCGTAGAACAAAGAGAAGCAGGTTGCAGCGGTCAAAATCGACTCCGCTCGCGAAAAAAAGGTCCGTTAACGAATCGATTGAAATGGAAATCGATTGAACAAGCACTCGGCCCTTGTTACTTCCCATTTCCTGTCTTTCTCTTCTTTCCTTCTCCCATCTAATGTAATTCTTTCGTAATACAAATGGTTTCGCGAAACAGAAATCGCGCTTTCGAAATCTGGCAAATAAACGAGACAAAAGAGAGAAAGGGACAGAGAAAGAGGAGCGGGCGGAGGATGAGGGATAATTGTATTGTAATTGCATCCTTCGAGCTACGTGCGTCGGCGGAGAGAAAGAGAGAGAGAGAGAGGAGTGGAGCCGTGTCAGAGTCGAGCCGAGTCACGGTTGACCCGATTTTTTCTCCACTCTGGCAGGAGTGCACGCCGGTGTTCCAAACTGAAACTAATACCCGCGATGAGAGGGGAAGGAGGGGAAGAGGATGGCGGTAACGGGGAAGAAAAGGGAAGAGAAAAAGGACGGCAAGACTGGAGGGCAATGGATCTAAAGTGGCGGTCGTCGCGGAGTAAGAAGAGAAGATCTCGGAGCTGTGTGAGAGTAGAGGGCGATGCGGGAGGATAAAGCCGCGCGGACTTATCCACAGGGTGTCCCATGTAATTGCAATCGTCGATTGTACATCGTGGCTCTTTACGAGTCGAGTTATCCCCCTTCGATATTATTCATTATCACAAAATCCTTTATCCTCTCACGACGCTGTATAAGCGGCCGTTATTGCGTTTATTTTCAACCAGAAATTCCTCGATAATTTTAGACTTGTTC